GTCCGCGCTCTAAAACGGTACGTCGAAATTTGAGCACCACAAAGCCGCAGCCATTTTATTGTACTTGAGGGACAAGGGAGGGTTACTGCTAGGAAAGATTCGCACCCCGTGTCGGTTATTACATATTTTTATAATTTTATAGGGAGGGGGTGATGGTACAGAGAATTGGGTACTAAGGGGTGCAAGGGTGGATTCAGACGACGTTCTAGTTTCCCTTCATATGTCGGCGTGTGTGCGGAAGGTATCGGAAAAATCCGCCCTCGATGTCGCCCTGTATCGCGACGCATCTCCATCCCCGAGGAGGGTCTCCGTTGATTTCAGGAGATCATCCTCGGGGAATCCTCCCAGGCCGAAGAAGTTCATTTTCGAAATGAGTCCTTCCAGCCGCGGAAATCCGAGCCGAAGTATCTAACGTGCCTCTCGGTCGACATGATTTTTCGCGGCCCTTTTGAAAATCGTAACACGAGCCTTTTCGCCCCTTCGCGGGGTGAAATCTCGGCAGGATTTTTATCCGCCGTTCCTCGGTAAGGGTGACTCGCGCCTTTGAATTCCTGGCTTTTCCGAAAATTCCTAAAAATTTCCATTAGATTAGCGGGATTTTACCGCTTTGTCGCGGTCGGGAATTCGGGGGTGCATCGGGGACGCTACATCCGAATTAATTGCATCCCTTCGTCGGGGCTAATCCTAGGGGGCTCGGGGTCGATTTTCGCTTCAGGGTGCGCGATGTTTCCTGGCGTATTTCCCGACGTCATCGGCGCAAACGATTGCATTTGCCGGTGCATTCTACCGAGCTTGCACCCCGGGACAATCCCGCGGAGTCGTTGCGGGGAAACGCGCTTCCCGACGAGCTGCCGTAAGCTCTTATTCGCCCGAGAAGCGTTTATTGTTCTTCAGTATTCATGAATTAATTTCCCAACAACTGCGCGACACCCCTCGGTGGCGTATAAACGCCGTTGAAACGAGTTTAACGCGAGTCTCGTTTTTTCAACGAGCATGGAAGGAAAACTAACGAGAGATGCAACCCCCTCCATAATAGGGTTGATAAGAAGAGGGATCAATGGCGAGAAAAACCAAGATTATCATAATCTTGATCTCGGTCTTGTTTATCATTAACTTCTTACGCACAAACAAATGCAAGACCAAGATCATGGTAGTTTTTGTCATGATTTTGTGTACTCGACTCTTGGGACCGATTACATCGACCGTGATTAAGGAAAAATGTCCGAAGATTAGTTAATCTCATCGTACTATATTTTCTGTCGCCCCGTCAGAAATTAGCTAATCAAATCCACTGAGATAACTCCCCGAAATCGGGTAATTAGTTTCAATCACCTCGATTAAGGATTTGAATTGGAATGTTGATGCAATCGTTTCTTCCTTGCTCAGTCGAGTTTTTGTTTTGTAGCTCGCTGCAAGACTAAGACAAACTTTGTTCGTCGGTACTCCTCGGTATCGGCGCTTGAGGATAATGAACCTCGTCAAGAACGCGGGGTCCGAAAATGATTTAATCCAAGGGATGGAAACTTCTCGGGGGGAGGAAAACTAATAAAAGGGAGATGCCTCGCGGAATTCGAAAAAGTTGGGGCATTCCTTTCGGCCCGCGAGTTCCGGGCTGGATCGGGTTTCCGCGACGCGGGGGAGGGCGTCGCGGCGTTTTATGAATTATTTCCCGGCATGAATAATTCAAGCCTGTTTACATCGACGAACTATCCGAAGTCTCGAGAGTCCGAGGACTCGAAGGGCTTGCTGACGCGGAAGTGGCAGCAGTCGGCTCATCGAACGGCTTCGAAGAGAGAGAGACCGGAAGTCCGCGCGAAGAAGCCGGAAGTCGGAAGGGAGGATCGGCTCTCGAATATTTATGATCCGGAAGAGAGCCCGAGACAACGGCAAGATGCATCGGGAATTCGAGGCCGCTTTCGAGATCATCTGCCCCTTCTTCGGGGTCCAAGTGTCCCCGAGAGGAGGAGAGCTCATCGATTCGCGTCCAGCGATGCACCCGGACTTCCGGGGAATAACTTTTCCATGCATACAAGGGGATTTCGGGATCCGGGGAATTAGCTTCCGTTGAAGGAACGCGGAAGGTCGGCGACCGGAAGCTTTCGAATATTCATGGGCGAGGCGCCGCCCGGGCGGAAATTCGGTCCTCTTCAGGCGAGCCTTGAATTCGAGGTCGACTTCCGGGATAATTGCGGGTCCTTTCACGGGACAAAGTGTCCCCTGAAGAAAAGCTCGATTCGATTAATTGCAGGAAGGAGAGCCGAACGTCGCGTGGCGTTACGAAGGGTCACTGAGCGTACATGCCGATAAAAATCACGATCCAGCAACTGCATTGCTACCCACGACCCCCATGCTTGTAATTGCTGGTTTACCCCCTACACGCAGAAAAATATTTGGGTGAATCGATACAATTTTTGTTGGTTCAACCACAAAATAAGGTCCCTATATGAAGAACCACATATTTAATTGACATTTGGTCAAAATAACCGAATTTCCGGTTAAGGGTTGAATCTTGATAAATCGAAGGGTAAGACCCATTCGGATGAATGCTCGGACACGTGTCTGTTTATTTTGTCTCTAGATTATTCTATATAAAGCTCATTAAAGTCCCCGACTCGATGTGACTTCTCATTATCAGCGCAGAGAGGAGTTACCAATCACGGAGAACTTTTCTCATACATTATCGAGTTTCTCCCCTGTGGAATCAGGACGAGGTTGCACTTTCTCTCGCTTTTCTCTCCCTCTCCCGGGCCTAATGGAAACGCAATGTCGAGTCTTCGCGCTTCCCTTTCGTTAATAAAACCATCAGGCACCTTGAAGAAGGAGAGTCTCGATTGCTCCCTGGAGTGACTTTCTGGGCTTCGGAAGAACTTCCCTCATTTTCCTCCCTGGCTATGTATGTGGCCCCACCTCTAACTCGAAATGATTTCCAGGATTTACGAACGCGTACGACTTCCGGCGTGCCCTCTTCCGGGGGAATCACCTGCTTCCGGGAAATCGTAACCGAGGCTCGACTGCGAATTTCGAGTTCGAGGATCGCCTCGAGGTCCTCGAAATCAATTCGGCCGCAGTGTCCACTTTACGGTCGCCGTCCGAGGGGGGAAATCGACGATTTTCCGAGGGTTGCCGTAAACACGGACCCGACCCCCGTTGATTTATCGCCCGCCGGGTGGAAAATGAGCGAGCAATTTCCCCGGCTTGGAAGGTCGGCGCTCGCGCCTTCATTTCCGGCGACGCGGACTTTTCTCTCCTCGGGAAAGACCGAGGAAAACCTCGACGAGGAGCCTCGGAAAATCCTCCGTGTTTCGGAATTACGCGCGTTTCAGAAAGTCTCCTCATCCGTCCTTATTAACCGGGGGGCGCGTCCACCAGGGTGCCCTCTCGAGTTACCCCATCAGCGTCGTATAGAGGGAGTCACCTCAGAATTCTCCACTGCAACAAAAAATTTTCTTCCTTCATATTGCATCGGTTAGATACTAAACAGTTATCAAAAAATCGGTCGATACACGCGGTGGATATTAAACTTTTAAACTAAACCGTATCGTTAGGGATTATTTGCTATTCTTAATTATTCTTTCGTGAAATGCCCCGACGCGTTTGGCACTTTGGTTCTCTCGGACATCATTAGTTTTATTTTTTATTTGGATTATCTTTTATTTCATTTCAAATGTAAAATTGTCAGTCATAATTGCGACCGTCCTATGTGAAGTTTCACTTCTAAAATAATTGATACTGGGTTATTTTTCGATCCTTGTTTCCTTTGCATAAAATTGTCCTCGTTCCTCAAAATTAACGAAAGAAAAGAAAAAAGGAGCGTTTCACTTTCCGAAGCAAACTTATTACCGCCCTGTAAGAAATTTCGCTTCGAAAGCAATTAATACCTGATTATTTCTCTTAATCCTTTATGACTTCTCAAGTTGCTCGCAGGAAATATCTGTCCCACCATAAGCTGCCAGTAAGGATACTTAACGATAAACGTCAGTTAAAACTAATTTGTGCTTCGTTATTATTTTTTTTAAATTTAATTAGACACATTTCCTAGCCTCTCGGAGGAGCTCTAAGATGCCGGGCGATCCTCGTTTCCTTCGCGTAAACTGTCCTCGTTCCCCGGGATTAACAAGCCTCCGTAAAGGCGTCTTCCCGCGTCCCGTGATTATGGCCTCCTCGTCGAAAGTCGATCCCGAGGGAGCGGTTTCTGGAATCGAGTCGTACAGCCAGGAGGAACGCGAAGAAAGTCGAGGGAGGCGCGTCCTGTTAACCCACTTTCTACCGAAAGGCAAATTCACGCGGACTCGCTCAGCCCGCTCGAGAAATCCTAAATAGGAAGACGAAAAGCTTGGGAGAAAATCCGGAAAAGCGAGACCCAGAAATTCGTGGCCGAAGAAACGAAGGATCCCGCATAATTGAAATATCCTACCATCCCCCGGTCTTCGCGGAAAATATTTATTCAGCCTCGCGTTTCGCGGCCCATTCTTGGGAAAGCAATTCCGCCCTAATTACGAGTCGGCCCACACGTGGATCCAATTACATTTTTCCTCCCCCATTAACGTAATAACCCTCCATCCGGCCTTAACGAGTGCGCACTTCGCGTTACGGCTTAACTGGTCGTCTGGAAAGTCGCTCGAATATTCCCGCGTTCCTCCTAAATGAAATTCTTACGGCGAAGAACTAAACAATCAACGGCGATCGTTTCGAGGATATTAAAAAACTTTAATCAGGCCGTCATCGCGCGCCCGCGGAAATCGCCCGGCACTCGTTGTCAGGATTTTGATGCAATCGATAATGCTCAATATGAAGTCAAATTCGTTGCTGTTCGGAGGTCCTTCCGAAAGGTAGGAAGAAATTCCCTAGAAAGTTCCCACCTTCCCCCTAACTTGAATCCTTTCGGTGAGGGCCTAACAATTAACGGCGATCGATCCGAGGATGTTAACGAAATTTCAATCAGAGTATCGTTGTTGGTATATTGATATATTTGATAATTAATATGTCGATTTTTGTTCCAGTGTGGAGGCTTTCCATGTGTGGAGGGTGCAGCGCAACGAAAGTCCCCGAGGGTGAGTACAACTGTTGGACACCTCTCGTGTCAGGGTGACGAACGATCGGTATTTCTCGATTCCGATTGCCGATCGTCAGTCACCCGTCCTTCCCGAGCAATTTCACCCCTCTTTCGTGAGGGGGCTATTTTATTGGCCGTCGAGGGGGATCGATCTAAAGGAGCCCTCGTCTCGCGAATCGACTCCGTCGCGAACGAGCGCCACAACAGGAAATTGTGGGTATTCCGTTGCTCCTTAGTTAATCGAATTATACGACAAATCGAATTAGACGTATCGCGATAGATCGATCGCGAGCCTCGCCGTGCGTGGGATTAGCCTTAGAGTACTTGTATGCACTTCCTGTACCCCCCATAGGAGGAAGCTCCTCCTGTTCGCACCCCCTTATCCCATTGGATCGGCTCATCGACAGGGAGAAGCATTAAAACCGGCTCTATCAAATTATTTGCAGGATTAAATGGAACTATGGGGGTGAAATTTACGTGGGGGTGGATTTTTTCAGAATTTTACTAGTAGAACTTCTCGGTATAAATGATTAGATAGAGAGAAGCATTAAAATGGGCTCTATCAAATTATTTGCAGGATTAAATGGAACTGTGGGAGTGAAATTTACGAGGGGGCGGATTTTTTCAGAATTTCACTAGTAGAACTTCTCGATATAAACATTTAGATAGGGAGAAGCAATAAAATGGGCTCTATCAAAAGGATTAAATGGAACTGTGGGAGTGAAATTTACGAGGGGGCGGATTTTTTCAGAATTTTACTAGTAGAACTTCTCGATATAAACATTTAGATAGGAAGAAGCATTAAAATGGGCTCTATCAAATTATTTGCAGGATTAAATGGAACTATGGGGGTGAAGTTTATGAGAGGGGTGGAATTTTTCAGAATTTCAGTTGTATCGGTACAATTTTTATTGTTCCAATCGTAGAATATAGTTATTACGAGGAAATGCTCCGATCGACATGACACAATTCTTTGGTAAATAACTTTCGGTTAATTACGCCAAATATTGTGATGGGTTACGTCAAATATTGAACCAGTTCGTTGAATTTAGCCGAAATATTCTGATTATCAACTGAAGTATCTTCTAAAATGAAGAAAATTTAACCCAAACACTCTGGTTGACCGAAGCAACAATGTTTGATCAAGAGATCCGAAATTCGGTTCAGTGGACTGCTACGTTACATAAAGTAAACCAAATGCAGTCCGATCGAACGATTTTCATCGATGAACCGAATTTCTGCATCCGCGTATAATTGCACTGAGAAAAAAAGATATCATCGAACCAATGAAAGATTTTTTTGAGGGGTACCAAATAAGTATGCTGTTAATTCAACGAATGCTTGGACTCAAACTCTCGAATCAGTTTGATTGGCAATATTTCTTTCGCTATTATGACAATTAATATGAATTTATTTCTGAATTGACAGAACATTGCTTTGGTACTACTCGGACATGTCTCTTTGGTACCATGAATTCCTTTTCCCAGGGTACGCGTCAACTTATCGTGTTACGAAGTGACCGAAAATAGTGGATAATGACCGAAAACGACGTCGGTCGTCTTTTTAGCATCCTCGGCCATGAGCAATTAGCGACGCGGCGAGTGCAACATAATAAACCGGAGCTCGTAGGGAGCTAATGTGCATAGGTGCAGTCGACAACTCCGACTGCAGCGACGAACTACCAAACGCTTTTATCCAGGCCGCGGCTCCTCATTTTTTCACTTTTCCTCGGCAATGCGAAAACTTCGTTCCCGGCCTCTCGTAGTCCCAGAGGGTTCGTCGATTAAGCCCCGGCCACGCACGGCCCGACCGGCCACGCATGAAAATTGCGCGACCGCGGCTTCCATTAAAACTCCTCCTCGAGCCCGGAATTTCTGGAATGTTTGTTGGCCCGGAATTTTACGACTCCACCGCCACCCGGACCGACGGCTAAATCCCGACGTTTATTAGTCGCGTTTACTTGCGGGATTAAATAACCGATTCGTCATTTGCCTCGGCGGGTCCGTCATTCAGGGTTGGGTGATTTCGCGTTTTCCCAAAGTCTTTGAAGTACATTACGCAAACCATGTAGTTCATCGTAGAGTACCGGTAAATTACGTTTCCAATATGAAGGGTGCCTCAGAAGTGCGATATACGGCATCCGCTAGATTGTAAACCTCTTTTAGCACGTATGCAAATACGTAGAAATTAATATGGAATAATCAGTCAGCTTGGCGACAATTTTTTCGTGATTTCCAACGATTTCGAGCGTTGAAATCCGTGACTTCCTGCGCGAGTGCCGTTTAAGGCGAACTATTTAGGTATACGTTTGAGAAGCGAATCGAGAAGTGAGAGGATACGCGATTTTCCATCCAATAATTTATTTAACATTCGAGGGCTGCATATCCTGCCGGGGGAGGCAGCAGACGTCGGAGGTCACTTTGACGAGAGTTGAACCGAGTTACCGAGGAATCCGCTTAAACTGGCATAACTAATGGGAAGGCGATTCAATTACACGAGGTACGTGCGAGGGGTGCGAGAAATTTTCCACGGGCCCCGCGAACAAAGCGGATTTCCTGCCCGTAGTCTCCTTCCCTCTTCTTTTTTTCGCCGTTCCGCTTTTTATTTACCCCCTTTATTTACCCTCGAGTGACGTCGGGGGACACTTTTGTCCCCGGCAAACCGCGGTTGCGCCCCGGAAGCTAAATCGTCCCAATTACCGAATGTCTCCTGAACAACGGCCTCTCCTATCCACCAGGAAATTCCCTATCCTTCCGAACGCGGCCAAACGTGCGCAGGAAAGTTCAATAACATAAAATAATCCAGTGATCATTCGGTAGATATCGTTTCTCCTCGTTTCATCCCCCTTGGAAGTGCGACACTCGTCCCTCTCAATGCGACACTTGCGCCGGGCGGGTGGGTGGGTGGTGGGTGGGAATCGGCATCAAGAGCCATACAAAGAACTCCCGAGAGACCGAATTATCCGACGAATTTCATCCTCTCTGTCTGGATTGAGAATCTCGAGGCTAAAAACTTTTTATTAATCGAGCACTGACGTTCGCGAGAGACCCTTTGCTCCAGATTCGCGCCCTAATTTCGAAGATCCATCGACGGTGGTAATAATTTTTCGAACCACCCCACGACCTCGAGGGAGGGACGAGAATCGATTCTCGATTGAATGCGTATGTCCTACTTGGAAAGTGGAGGTTTTCGATTGTCCTGCCGAGGGTCTTTCAGGGATCACCGAGGGCTTTAAGCACGAGAACTCGAGAGGGGGACTAAGGTGCGAGGAAAGTGAAAAGCGTCGAAATGAAGGCCAGGAAGAAGAGGGTGTTTTCCTGCCCTCGAAATTTCGAAGGATCTTCCCTGAATTTCTCGCGCTCCTTTATACAAGGGGGAGGTGCAAGGAAATGCTAAGGGTCTGAATTATCCATCAAATTTTACCCTCTTATTTCAATACTTAAAAATCCATACACTTTTATTCATTAGCGAGAGACCCTTTGCTCCAGATTCGCGCCCTATTTTCGAAGATCCCTTGACGGTGGTAATAATTTATTAAGCCGCCTCTCCAGGCCTCGAGGGAGGGAAAAGAATCGATTGGACGTGTAAGTCCTACTTTAAACGTGGGGATTTTCGATTGTCCTGGCGAGGGCCTTTCAGGGATGGCGAAGGGTTTTAGGCGCGAGGATTCGAGAGGGGGACTAAGGGGCGAAAAAGTGACAGCCGTCGAAATAAAGGCCGAAAGGAGGGAGAGGGTATTTTTTTTCCCCCTTGAGCTGTCGAAGGAGCCTCCTCCTTGCACTCCTCGCGCTCCTTTACGCCGTTCTGCATCGCGTTGACTCGCGGATACCCACACAAGAGATACCAGGAGGGGTGGGAAGGGATGCGAAGATACAGGAGGAGATACAGGAGAGACGTTCAGGGACACGAAGAGACTCGGGGAGACCCACAGAAGCCCACAAAGCGACACACGGAGGAACCCACGTTCCCCTTTGGGTCTCTTTGGGCGTTCTCCTTGGGTCGGTCCCGCCATTGTCCCGAGGCCTCTTCGAGGCCGCGAAAGGGTTCGCAAACACCCTCTTCCTCCTCTTCCTCTGGGATGAAAATAGGTTCGAACTCGAGAGCCGGAGGTGTCCTCGGTCGGACCTCTCGGCTGGATCTTCTTCCCGGGATATACGAGTCGCTGACCCGTGCATAAATGAACGTTATGAATCTCCCGGGGAATATTCATCCGCGAGAGCTACCTTCTGCTCCTTCGACCTCGAAGACCCGACCCGAACTCTTTGGCTCTCGCTTCAGTCGCGGAATTGAGATATCGGCGCCTGGACGGGGTCCCGAGGGACCCCTGGGATGAGACCTGCACAGGGACTCGGGAGAAGAGGAACCTCTCTCTCTCTCTTTCCTCTTACGAAAGATGTCGCTTGGAAATTTTCATATGCTGATACTCGGCGGATTTCCAGCTCGCGTGACTAACTTCAAGGGTCTCGTCTCACAGAGAGTCGATCTCTCGTCGTGCTCGCACCTAGATATGCAAATGTAGGGCATGATATTTTTCATCTCGGTTTTGATCTCGCACACTTGAACTTGGACTGCGAGAAGTACGATACCTATTTTACTCGTCAATACTCGCCGCTCCCCTCGTAGAATTTTTCTCTCCAGCGTATTAATTTCGTCGATTTTTTGAGTAAAGGAGCACGGGTTATAAATCGCTGCGATTTATCGCAACGGGCGGAGATACCTTAAGTGGACGCGCAAGGATTTCATAAGAGATTGAATTTTATGCGGAATGATATTTTTCAAGATGGCGTCGATATCCGAGGTGGCCGCGCTTCGAGATGCAGATCCGACTCCGCGGTGGTTCGATCGTTCCCATCGGCGATTGCACTCGGGCCGGTGCATCGAGTCAAGGGGAACTTACCAGGGGAAGTGCCGGATGAAATGGGGCGAGAGGGAGGGCCCGGAATGCGCATTATCTCCCGGTTTATGCATTCGCCCTTGATAAGATTCATCTCGCGCGGC